AACACTTTTTGTTCCGTTCAGTTGTGGATGCTGCTGATCCACCGAGACCGCCGCGGCTCAGCAAAGAGACGTGTGTGTGTGTGTGTGAGTGTGAGTGTGTATCATGGTGTGTGATGCTGAACTATGAGTTTCTAATGGTGTTTGTATTTGCACTGTTCTAAACATTCATATTTTATGTGCAACAACAGCATGTTGTCTCAGTGGCCTTACACATGATTTTAAATCAATTTTTTCAAACTTTATGATTTAAATGGGGATGATTGTACTGAGAATAACTTTCATCTTTTCTTCAACTGAATAGCCTACTGTTTCCGTGCTGTTTTGATGTATTTTAAAGAGTTGGCAGTCAAAGTTAAAACTGCTGGATGTTGGATATTCTTCATTCTTTATGACAAACAAGATAATGTGAATTACAGAATGTACAACGTTTTTAAACTGTATAAATTGCGGTGTTCAGCGTTTATTATGAGGGGGTAGAATCCACAGCTCAGTACTCACTACTCAATACTCATGAGTACTTTTAAATAGGCTACTCTTTTACTCTTACTCAAGTAGTTTTTTGGACAAGTACTTTTACTCTACTCACACTCAATTTATTTGGAAGGTAATGGTACTTTTACTTGAGTATATTTTTTCAGTACTCTTTCCACCACTGCTTAGCAGTGGCCAGAGAAGCCGCATGATTGGATGAGTGACCTGAATGACCTGCCGTACATGGAGATGTTTAGCGGTTCAATCACAGAGACTTCTGGACCTGTAGTGAAGTGGGAAATTTATGTGTGTGAGCATTTTTACATGTTTGAAAGCACAATGTATGACAGAACCTAGCATAGGATGTTGTTACTAATTTATGCCACCAGAGGGCAAACTCACTCCAAGATATACATGGCTTCATCAACCTGAAGCCAATAAATTGGAATGTGTACAGTAACTAGCCTTGCAACATTTAGAGTTGTCCTTCTTCTCTAGTAGGGCCTACAGTGGTTCTCAACTGATGGGTCGTGACTCAAACATGGGTCACACAATAAGTTGTTCTAATAAACAAAAATTATAAAAATGTAACAACTGTATGATCATGTATATAGTTAGCTTGGTAATATTCCTACTGCTAATACAATATTTGACACATTAAAAAAAATCCTATTCAGCCTAAGTCATGTACATTGCCGATTGTTAATAAATGTTAATGTTTTTTAAGCATATCCCTGTTTACATTTGTACAATACACAATTATGATAATGTGTATTTCATGTCCTTTGGGGAAAAAAAGGGTCCTGAAGTGTAACCTGCTGATAACCACTAACCTATTTGCGCTGCTTTTGTAAAGTTTAGTATTTATTCAATGTGCATTTTTCTATAATTATGACAACAGAATCATTTTGTGATTATAGTTTTGACAGGATTAGCAGTTTTAACCTATTTTCTGCATATGAACGTATATTGCCTGAGGAATGGCATGAGATTAAATAGAGGTTGTGTGCACAGATATATTCGTCATTTTGACATTCTTTCTTGTACCTATCAAAGCCAACGAGACACATGGCGTCATTAGAATGTATAGAATGTGTTGTTTCAGTTAAGCTTCTCATGCTGTGACACAAAATGACAAGCTAATTGAGGTGAGTAGATAGGGATTACAAGAGAGAGAGAAAGATGGACAGTAACAGGTGCTAATCACAGAGGGATTCACGAAAGTAGGGCTCAATGGAAGCAAGGGTGATGACATCACTTTTCCCCCAATAGTACATCATGGCATAAATTGCAAATGCGTCACATACAATAAGGGGATACATTTTTTCAATGCTGTCATTCTCAACCTTCATGCTCATAATGGTTTCTATAGCTATATTCAGTTGCAAGGTTGAGACAATTAAAATGGCTAATATTGGCTTTGCCAGCTGCTCAGTTCTGCTGTGATCAGAATCCAACTTCCTGTGTCTCTCTTCTATCTTCTTCCTGTCTGTCTCAGGCATATTGTTGTGCACTCAACTTGTAACTCTTGTTTGGGACTATTTTGCCTTTTTTTCCCTCTTGTATCTCTCTCTCACTCGCTGGCTGTCTCTGACCTGCTGATACAGAAGCACACACCAGCCTGTCCGTCAAAGCCACCAAACAGGTGGTGCAGTAATGATCTCCCTTTCCCAACCCCCTCTTCTCCCCACGGCCCCTGTCTCTTACTCATAGACAAATATATTTGCATGTTTGTTGTCTTAAATTTAATTTATTGGCTACCATGGCATGTTTTATATCATATGTATCTTTATAGATAAATGTAGAGAACTTTTAGAGTACATTTAAAGGGGTCATATGATGCTGCTAAAAATAATATTATTTGGTGTAATGCAATGTGTTTATGCGGTTTAAGGTTCAAAAAACACATTATTTTCCACATAATGTACATTATTGTTTCTCCTCTATGCCCCGCCTTTCTGAAACGTGTCGATTTTTTACAAAGCTCATCGGTCTGAAAAGCGAGGTGTGCTGTGATTGGCCAGCTATCCAGTGTGTTGTGATTGGCCGAATGCCTCAAGCGTTTGACGGAAATGTTACGCCCCTTACCATACTGTGATGCCCTGTGCGGCCGCAGTAACGAGACAAAAACAGTAAAACCCATTATAAACGAGGCATTTGTTGCTTCCAGTGGGGACATAATTACTGATTATAATGATTTATACTGTCTTTTTATGCGTTGCGTATCGCGCTGCGTAAACATAAAACCATGTCTGCATTAGTGATCGGAGAAATGACAAACAACAAGCGCTACTCTACACTGCTCAAAACTCGTGTTTGAATCATCAGTAGCAAATTCTTTAAATATGAAAACGTACTTACAGTCTGTGAGTCAGAAGCGCCAGACTGTCCTTGCAAAGTTGAAATTGCCCCACTTTATAGAAACAGACACCGGCCATTGTAGGCTACTCTCCCAGGAAACAGTCCTCATCCCCCATAAAATGCGCTGCACACATCTAAATATTTGGGTTGAACGGTTCTGGAACAGTGTTGTAAATACAACTTAACCACTGATTTCTAGTCGTGTCCTCTTTTGGAAGGCCAAACAAAGTAGTGTCACTTTCACAACGAAACACACAGCGTCTCCAAAACATGGCGGCGGCAACAACAATACTACAGCGAGAATCAAAGTTAAGCCTTCTTTCTTTGCGTGAACATTTGGGCGGCGTTATGCAAATCTTCCCACATCGTGACATAGACATGTGGGGGCGTGTTAGAATGAGCCGTTTTAGGTAGGCGTGGTTGACTCTTAACTTTTATAAAGAATATCTCTTTGGATTTGAGACTTTAGTCTTTGCAACTTTACAGATCTTCTTTATGCACCAAGAGCTTGTAACACTCCAAAGAGAAAGGAAAAATTGAAATCGCATCATATGACCCCTTTAAATGGATAGTTCATTCAAAATTTTAATTGTATAATTATTTACTCACCGTCATGTTGTTCCAACCCTGTTGGTTTCTTCTGTGGAACATATTTTGAAGAAAATTGCGGTCCAAACAACACTGGATCCCACTGACTTCATTATGAACAAAAAGCAAATTTTTGAAATATCTTATAGGGGTCATATGATGCGATTTCAATTTTTCCTTTCTCTTTGGAGTGTTACAAGCTCTTGGTGCATAAAGAAGATCTGTAAAGTTGCAAAGACAAAAGTCTCAAATCCAAAGAGATATTCTTTATAAAAGTTAAGAGTCAGCCACACCTACCTAAAACGGCTCTTTCTAACACGCCCCCACATACCTACGTCACTATCTGGGAAGATTTGCATAACGCCGCCCAAATGTTCACGCAAAGAAAGAAGGCGTAACTTTTATTCTCGCTGTAGTATTGTTGTGGCCGCCGCCGCCATGTCGTGAAGGCGCTGTGTGCTTCGTTGTGAAAGCGAAACTACTTTGTTTGGCCTTCCAAAAGAGGACGTTATCGCTTCGTCATGCCTGGAGCTGATCCGTGCTTGTCGCTGAGGAAATACATCAACTTCGTGCTGTCGATCGCCGGATCGGATTTCACCGTAGACGAAGCGGAGTCCAGCCTGGGGTCGTCACATGTGGTTGCCGCAGGCATCACAATATGGTAAGGGACGTAACATTTCCGTCACACACTTGAGGAATTCGGCCAATCACAACACACTGGAAAGCTGGCTAATCAGAGCATTTTCAGACAGATGAGCTTTTTAAAAATCGACGCGTTTCAGAAAGGCGGGGCATAGAGGAGAAACAATAATGTACAGTATGTGGAAAATAATGTGGTTTTTGAACCTTAAACCGCATACATTGCCGTACATACATTCCATACATTTCATTACACCAAATACACAAAATAATGTTCTTTTTCGCAGCATCACATGACCCCTTTAAAAAAATAAGAAGAAAATCATAAAGATTTGGAATGACATAAGAGTGAGAGAATGACAGAATTTAAATTTTTGGGTTAACTGTCCCTTTAAGACCTCATGTCTGCATCCCTGCCAACATTATATATTTCTATCTTTCATGAATACATAGGAAATATTTTCTGTTCTGTGCTAATGCATTCTGTCCCTCACCTTAATAAAATAAACGCATTTCAAACACAATTCAAAAAGCCTTCCCAATAAAAGACTTAATAAAAAAATTAAGTAAAAATTTAAAATTGAAGGCAGTGAAACACAGTTCCTTTCTCCCCATCTCTTTCTGATCCAGCAGCGTTCTACATCCCTTTGTAGCTTTTATACAGCATATAATGTGCCGCTGAAGGTCACCAGCTTTTACAAGCTCCTTTGTATACCTGTAGAGGAAGGTCTGGCCTTGTCACCCCTTGTGAGAGAAAGAGGAGATAGGGAACACCGCAAGTTACTCACTCAGTAGTGTCAACCCCCAATGAATCTATCAGCAGACATGTGCGTGTGTGTGTGTGAGAGAGAGGGTTTTGAGGGGGCAGGGGCAGAGCTTCAGGGTGCTCTTTTGATAGCCCAACACAGTTGGCTCAACCCCTCGGTGTGGGGGTAGAGAGAGAGAGAACGAGGTGTACAGGGTGAATTCTGCGTTGAAGAAAAGAGGAAGAAACAGGGCCCTTTTCTCCCTAGATTTACCTGTGGAAGGGAATGAACAAACAGGCGAAAAAGAAGATAAGGAACAACCTTGTCACTGAGCATTGCCTCGATTTAACGTGCCTCAAGTTCTGCCCTTGTTCTCCACCTCAATAACAAGAATCTCTCGCTCTCTCCACTTTTAATATCTGTTCAACGCCACTCAGGGGAGTTCAGTCTGACTGTGAGTATTCATTTCCATTCATCCTATTGTCGTTATACATTTATTTGTGAATATATATGTTCTTTTGTGAAGGCATCTGGGTGCTTGTGTCTGTAAAGTCTAGAAGTTTTTGTGATCTTCATCTAAGGCCAATTTATTGCTTCAGTACTTGAAGTCAGTGGGTAGTGCAGTTCTGATTATCACAGAAGAGAGATGTACAGTGAAAAAATAAACTTGAAATCCAGCTCTAGGACACATAAATAAAACCAATTATTTCTGTAACTCAAGCCAGAAATACATGCACTCACTCTCATCTGCTCCAACAGGTCATTTTATCCTTGGCTAGTTGAGCAAAAATCCCTCCCATTGGAATAGTTTAAAAAGACAGTTCATCCAAAAATGAAAACTCTGTCATTATTTACTCACCCTCATGTCTTTCAAACCTGTATGAATTACTTTCTTCTGTGGAACACTAAAAGAGAAATTGTACTTTTAATGTACTAGTAACTCTTTCTTTAAGTGAACGGTGATTGAAGCTTTAAAGGGCTCATAAAGGCACTGTAAATGTAATCCGTATATAAATTGGGTGAACTCTTGTGCATATGGGAAGTAATGAGGGAGAATTTTCATTTTTGGGTGAACTAACCCTTTAAAACTTCAAAAAGGGTCTGAAAGCTCCATAGAATTGTTGCATATGTCCTTTCCACTATATTTCAAGTCTTCTGAAGCCATATGATAGCTTTGTTTGAGGAACTAACTGAAAAGGGATATTATTCAATCCACTGAGATGTTAATTGCTGCAAATCAGTGAGTTGAACTCTCATTCATGAACAAATCATTGTGAATTAATCTGGCTCAAAAGAATGATTTGTTTACAAATCTGTACTTCTTTCATAAACGTGCCATGAACTGCAAGGGTGGATGTCATTTTCTTGATTAACAGCTTCAAAAACGTTCTGTTTCTTGCTTAAACTGTAAAAAACATATGGCTTCAGAAGGCGCGGAATGCAGTGCGCAAGTTGTATGGACCACTTTTATGGAGCTTTTGCTTCCTTTTTGAAGCTAGAAAGCTCTAGTCAATATTCATTACATAGAAAGAAGGACATCTGTTGTGTTTTATTAAGTGATGCTGTTTACTGTCTCTTAGAATAGCAGAATAGTGTTATCTTCTGATTCCTCCTGTTTCTGTCAGTCATACACAGACTACACCAGTTGCTTGTGTTCCTGTGTTTTTCCCTCGCTCTCTTGATGGCAACTAGGATACGTTCAGGCCTGCTGTGACTATTCTTTGCTTTCTTTTTCTTCAGGGAGAGGAACGGGCGTAAGAAATCATCATAAGTATTTGCCCTGCAGGAGGAAGACGTATCTTTAAAGCCCCCACCCCTTCTTCCCCTGCTGTCTCTCCATTATGACCTTGCTGGCGTCTGAGAGGTCACTGCTCATACGCAGTAAGTTTCGCTCAGGTAAGAACAAAGGATGGATCACAAGACTGTATTCAAGCTGTCTGTCTGCTCTGGTTGGTGATGTGAGGTCTGATGAGCAGCTCCTAGTGGCTGTTTTGATTTGAACATCTTTGCAGAGCTGGAAACCCAGATGAATGTAGCTGGTCTTACAGAGCAGCTGGGATAAAATGAGGATGGGCTTGCTTGAATATTCAGAATAAAACTGATCTTTAGATAAAATGCAGCTTTATGTAACTAAAAATGTAATCACTACCAGTGCTGGGGTAACACATTACAAGTAATTTGAGTTCCATAATTAACTAGTAAAGTAACACATTACTTTTAAATTTATGAGAGTTACTTTTTCGAATGAGTAATGCAAGTTTTCCCAATTAGTCAATGAGAGCAGGGAGAGCAGCGATAATCCCCCTAGTGTAAACAGAACAGAACCAATCATTAATGTTCAATACTTTAATGTACACATTTTAGAAATTAGTCTGATTCAAAGGGGAATCAGAAGGCCGAATCCTGACTGGACGAGAGGAGGAGTTGGGGATGGAGGGGATAATTAGCTATTGAGCAACGCAAAAGCTGCTGATAATAATGCAGGACATTATATATGGATGCTGTGGTAGGTGTCGTATCCCTATAGGTAGATGTGGATCAGCTGATGCGAGCTTGACTAACGTGACCTGTCAGAACTAATGCTACACTTGATGTAATGCATTATTTTCCATAAAATGCAGTTATAGTAATGCAATTAGTTATTTTTTTTATGGAGTAGCACAATATTGTAATACATTACTTTTAAAAGTAACTTTCCCCAACAGTGGTCAACACACTCTCACAGTCTCCAAATCTAATTTAGAAGACATCTCAAAACCTCTGCAAAAATCCCCAAGGAAAACGATAAGAAACAAGGCAAATTTCATTAGATCGAATAGTCCATTTGTTTACAGTATATTGAATTTGGTTGTTCAAACCGGAGAAAGCTTGAACTGGTGGACGAGCCCCCAATTTATGTTACGACCATCTAGTGCCAGTCATAGCATAAATTAAACGTGCGCTCACTCCCAAGATATTATCAAACAAAGAATAGATTTATTAACAAACTTATAATGAAAATTAGTAACAAAGGGGACAAGTTTAGGAGTGGAATAACAAACAAAGGCCAAAATAACAAACAAAAATAACTACATTTAGTATACCCTTTAAATTCTCTAACCAAAATAAAACAGAGAAAAAAAAATACAACACAACTTCCCTAACTCCCTTATCACAAAACATAGAACAAACAATATAAAAGAAATGGCGTCACACTCCCTACTTCCCTTAAACTAAATATTTACAAATAACAATTGGAAATCAACTAAAATAAGAGCAGGTTACTAAAAGCAAGTTTTTCAAAGCACACACAATCACAGAGGAACCCAAGACAAAGCAAAACAAATGGCACGCATTAAGCCTCCTAGAATGTTTAGGGAGGTCCTTTTCACTGGAACCAGGACGAGACCAATCAGGAGCAGACCAATCAGGATCTCTGCTGGCTTGAGTGCAGGCCACACCTTCTCCTGCACAGACACACTCAAATACATACACATACTTCAACAGACCTGAGATGTAACACAATACTTTCAAGCAATCATTGAGTTTAGCTTGACAAACCATTTTCTGTATAACAGTATCATAGTTTCAGTTCATTATCATTGGAATATAAAAGCATTCTCAAATGAATTCTGAATAGCTGATATGATATGGACCTCCAAATTTTAGCGAATAACCCATCTTCATGAGGTTCCATGATTTCTCGTACTTCCCCGTATTGTACAAATGTGGCCAGCAGTACGGTCTTCCCTGAAGGACATGTGGACAGTGGACAAATTGTCTTTGTTGGTTCCCATCTGTGGTTGGAACACCTTCAAAAGCGGTGCCCTCTCTTCTTGGGTTCCCTATAAACATCCTGCTGGCAAGATTCTCAGACAAATGTCCAGCAGCACTCTTTGGTAATAACAAGAATCTGCCGTCAAAAATGCATTGAATTGACACTTTTTAAACAGTTTAGCTAATATTCAAAAAGGGACTGTCATTTTTAAAAGGAAGATCACATCCATGGAAAGCAAAAAGAATGTAATGCAATCAAAACCCCGTTCTGCTCTGGTACTGACCCTTAAATCAGCTGTGACCTTGGATGTGTTGTGTTATGTTGTGAGAAAGACAGCTGCCTATTTGAAAAAACCTGATCCATGGTGTACAAACAAGGGTACATGTATAAAACGGAGTTTGGAAAACAATGTAAGAATGTTTATTTCTAACAAAATTTAAAGGTCATTTATTTAATTTTGGCTATTTAAATTATAGTCTTAGTGCCTTAAAAATTCATGAACATGAACAAAACTGAAATAATTAGAACATTTCTTATTTTGCTGATTTATAGTTTGAGGATGAACATAAGGTAATTTGCCAGTATTTATATTTATTTATATTTATATTTATAAAATTGACATTTAAATGATTACATATCCAACAATAATGTATTTTTTCATTATTTCTTTACAGTCTACCAGGCAATTGATTATAGTTTTTCATCATGTGTTGATTTTAGTAATATATAATGTATCAGCTATGGAGGGATGATCTTGTATTAATCTGAAGAGATTAATATTTTTATAATGACAGCATTTTTTTAGAAGAATTTTTAGAGAATCAGATTTCAGAGAGCCACTTGCAAAAGAAATAAGAAATCAGGAAGGGGGCCAACACTTTTTCACACCACTGTACTTATATACTGAAGTATATATAAAAAGGTATATACTGAAATCTTGCCCTCAGTTGTTTTTATTTCTAAACACTGAAGCTTGTTTTTAAAATTAGATGTAATTTTTAATTTTATTTGATTGTTTGTTCATTTTTTAATATCACACTTAAAATATTCCTTCTAATCTGAAAGATATCAGTGAAATAGCTGTCCTGAGAAATAACCCTGGTCTCTGTGGCAGCTTTATAGCAGATTTTAGTTATTTAGTCTTTCAGGTCTAAATGGAAAAGAAAGGCAAGCAGTAAAAATGAAGAGTCAAGAACATTTCAAAGATGTCAGTGATAATGTAAAACAAATGCATAAATTAGGAAAAGGGTACAAAACCATATCCAAGTGTGGATGTCTCAGGGGGCTCTTTTGGCTCAATTATCAGACTTCATCAAACCGCCCAGACTCTGCTTAGAAAAGGTCAACCTCTAAACTTTCTGCACAAACAAAAAGGATACTATACAAGCCACAGAGAAGCCAACAGTCAAGAGTTCAGTACCTGAGAACAGAGTAAAAGTGCTCCAGTCAACCACAACAGGATGGCTGCTTAATGCAGAGAAATACTGCTAAAGGAACTGCTGAAAGATGTTAGGACTTAAACTACACTGTAAAAATGCCACAGTAAAAACCTGTTAAATGGTTAACGGTAAATTCCCCTACTATATACGGTGAAACACTGTATTGGACATTACATTTAATTTAACGGTAGTATACCGTTTTTGGAAGTGAAAAAGACCGTATAATTTACAGTGAATAACCATAAATTGACATTCCCAGAATTCCCTGCGTTACATTTCAAATTTGATGTTTTTTTTGTTGTTGAAATAACTATGTTTCTTCTTAGTTTTTCCTTATCAGTTTTGTATATTAGGGTTGTATGTTACACCAAATGTTGTTAAATGAATGTTTATTGCAGTTACCATGATGGTGTTTAGTGTTTGTGTGAATGACACTGTGCACCTTCTATATATGTTATTATTTAAAAGCTGCTTGTGATGGGCTTTGGTTCATCATGTGACTTTCTCATCACCACCTGCATTTGGTGGTTATCAGTGTATTACAAAGGTACAAAACAGATTTCAGTATTTCAGTAGGTTGGTAAATTAACATTATTTCAGTTATTGAAATTACGTAAATTTAAGTTAAAACAGTAAAACCTAAAATGTTGCTACCGTACTTTTTACTGTAAAATTCCAGCAACCACAGCTGCCAGTTTTTTACCGTATTTTTTTTTTTACAGTGTAGGATACTAGGGTAGTACATACTTACCCCAAATTACTTATTAATGCTTTCATTCCTGCCCACAATGGCTTTACTCAATATCAAAATGTTGGGATCAAATACTGATAACAGTTAATGGTTTGAGTGAAAAGCTGAATTGAATTTCAGAATGTCTTAGTATTTGGTTTGTCCTTCTTGCTTTTAGAAATATTTTTTTTAACAAGAGATATAAGAAATACAAAACGAATTTAATTGAAACGTTTAATTATACATTTGGTTGTTTTCATTATGTATTGATTTTCAGGCATTTTAATAGTAATATAACAGGTGGTACAGTTAGTAGAGTATCATAAAACTTGAACTATGATTATGCATCAATGCCATTATGTGATTAGAGCACACCAGTCATAGTCATTACTATAAACTGCCATGACAACATTTTTAATCCCAGTATTCCAACCTGATTTGGCTTGATGCCACTCAGCCTGTCATTCTCTTCCAGAGTGAAGTAAAATCAGGAAGAATTTCCTTAGCACGACTGACAGCGAGACAGGGGGTTGTCACAGTATAAGTGAGATCTGAGAGCTGTAAACTCCTCACTACGAGTACCTGTGTGTGCGAGAGAGAGAGAGAGAGAGCGAGACGGGGTGAAAGAGAGAGAGAGAGAGAGAGAGAGAGAGAGGGAGAGAGAGCGGGACAGCTGGATGGGGGATGGGAAGGCGACAGAAATAGACATTCAGAGGGATAAATAGTTACCCCCCTTCCTCTCACGTCCACTCTCAGATCTCAAAACTCAGCACAGAGATGCATCACAGGACAAGCCACCATACCTCATGACTCCTCCCACCTCTGACCTAGCTGTAATTCACCTGCTGGTTCAAGCATGTGTTTGTTTGTGAAGAAGTGTAGAATTTAATTTATAAGTGCCACAAACAGAGTTTGACTAGGTTAGTGAACAATGTATGTCTGCAGCGCCTGATTCATATCTAACTCATTTATGATCATCCGAGTGGTGCAGTTTACTTGTAATATGCTGGGTTTACAGATATAAATTAAGCTATATAATTCACAGAGATATCCTGCACTTTCCTTAAGGTGGTAAACTCAGGCTTTCGAGTTTTCTTCAATACAAAGACTGTGTATATTAAATAAAGTATTGTAAATATAGTTTTTATTGCATAATAATAAATATACTATATTTTTCAGTTCTGCAGTTGAGAATACAGAACCGCAGACAGCAGAATGAGCTTAATGCAGAGTCTGGTGAGTCTCTCTCTCTGTGTGTGTGTGTTTGTTTTGATTGTGCTTAGCCCCCAGGAAGTCTATGAAATTCCCCCTTATGGGGCAAGAAAATTATAATATATTTGATTCACTCATTTCAAACCAGCTGGACTGCTCTCTTTATGCATTTCAAAATATTAGCTTTGTAACAGGTTTTCTCCACCTTTTTGTTCATTCTCTGTCCTCAATAGGTACAAAGGCCTCTGTCCCTGATAAAGTTGGGGAGAAAGAAGTCAGGAGTGGTTTGGTGAGCCATTATTTATCTATGTCTTAGGAGTAAAATATAGAGCTAGCAGCAACCAAAAGTAAAATAAGTGGCTCCATGAAACAAAATTAATTTGAGGGAGAAGTTCCAAACTAAAACATACCATGGTTGGATCTAATAGTTTCCACGCTTGACACACTCCAGTTACAGTATGTGTGTGCCTTTGGTTTATATGAAAACAGACTGACGTGAAACAGGGTGCCAGTGTAGATAAGCAAACTACCTACTGATGCCAAAACAGTCTGATAACTGACATGATTTTATCTTTAACCTCTTTAGCATAATTTAATGTTTGTAATTACATGTCTAGTAGTTACTGTTGCAAACTATTAGTATTAGTCGTGAAACACTATTAGCACAGTTAATTATGTTTAGTAAGACAGTAAACAGCAGCTGGTTCAAGATAATTACTGTCAGGAGGGAAAAATGTAGTCTTACAAGAGAATGTTACCATCCAGAGCAAACAATTAGTTCTTTTTAGCATCTTCACCACTGTGCTATATTTCAGTAACTATTGGGGAAATAAAGGTTTACAGTATTTGTTGACATTTGTTGATGGTGATTTGACTGGCTGTTTCTCAATGCAGCGTCAGACTGAAGATGGTGCCACTCAGAAGTCGCCCCCTAGTGGTCTGACTGCTCAAACTGCACCAGGTGATAACATCATCCACGGCGATTAAGAGTTTGCCAATAGTTCCTGACCTTCAGTCATAATAGAATATCCCAATAACAGTACTGAAAAGAGCTGTAACCTTAAAGCTGGAATGAGCAGTTTGTCCATTATCCATTCACACATCCATCAGTCCCCATTCATCAAACAGCTCTTCGTGTTTGCAAGTCATTCATGCACTTATTATCAGTAGCTTTCTGAATGTCTGAATTGGATAACCCCTGCAACAAATTATTTTGTGAAAAATTATTCATATCTGTCTTTAAAATATTCCTTCCTCTTCTCCTGTCTTATTATAAAGCAGAGCAATTGATCTGCCATTCACATTCCCCATCTTGCACTATTCATTTTGTTCTCTCTCTGATTCTCATATCTTGTTCTCACTTTCTCTTTCCATATGTCTCTCGCTCACAGACAGGAGTTATAGCAGAGCTCACAGGCAAAAGAAAGCCCGTCTGGTTGAAGATCTGGGTGAGAAAATCCAGAGTCAGCCTGGACCACTTGAAGTCCTGCAGAGGCATATTCTGCCTCTAGAGAACAGTGAGTCATTGAAAATAACTGAAAAAGATGCCTCACAAACTGAGCATAAACTCAAGCTAAATATTTTATATACACAGACAAACACACACATACGTGTATATTATAGTATTACACTAACATTTAATTAGGGTCATATAATTTCTTGTAATTGTAACATGGTTAACATGTTAACACAGTTGCTTTTTAAAGACAGAAAACTAAATATTGTACATTTACACAGTTATTGAGTTCAGCAATGAGTGGATGACATAGTAAATATGTGCATATACAGTAAAGACACCAGAAAGAGGTAAATGAACAATAACAAACAGATATAAAGACATAGATGTATTATTATATGTCACATATATGTATAATAATTTAATGGTCATAATGACATAGTTCAGATGGCACACATCATAAAGCAATTTTATAGGACTTCTAATCATAAAATAAATAAAAGAGCAATTAAAATTTTTTTTTAGCCAAAGGAATTAACTCCTAGACAGACTTTATTAAATGGGCATACTTTTCATTTTATTCATGATTATTGTCCTTGATCAGATCCAGTCAGCTTAAAAGATTCCAAACATATATTTTTTAGAAATCACGCAGCACAGAATTAAATGCAACATTCGTTGTTAAAACAATTAATATATATATATTTTATCAAATGTAATTGTAATGCATATTGTGCATTGCTGTTAGAGGTGAGGTTTCAATTATTTTTCCACTTTTATATGGTTATACTACCTTAGTGTACCTAGTGCATTAAACGGGTCCTATTATGCTTTTTCACTTTTTCAACTTTAGTTAGTCTGTAATGTTGCTGTTTGAGCATAAAAAAGATCTGTGAAGTTACAAAGCTCAAAGTCCAATTCAAAAGGAGATATTTTATTTAACAGAATTCACTTTTCAAAAACTACAACGAACGACTCATTTGGACTACAACACATATTTTCCGGGATTTGTGATATCACAAATATCGACGAATGAGACGAGACCTGGTTGAGCTGCACTAGAGAAGGCAACGAGTGTTATCACTATGTCGGAGACATGCTAGCTTTCCCAAGGCAGACGAACGTAGAGTGATTACAATCATCCGCGCTTAAATTTGATTTTGACGCAATATTTACACTGAAGCTCGCAAGCGGCTATGGTAAGGGGCGTGACATTTCCCAACCAGGCGCCGAGTGCTGCCAATCACAACACACACTGGCCCAGCTAACCAATCACAGCACATTTCGTATTTCAGAAGGCGGACCTTCATTTGATACAGGAACTATTCGAGCCGTTCATGCCAGACTGGGGAGAGAGGTGTTGTAATAATGTAAAATATGTGAAAGATAACGTGTTTTTCGAACAACCTAGTATGAGAGCCTGTTCTACACCCCCAGAACAAAATCAAGACTTTGTAAAAGAGCACAATATAATTAACACTAATTATATTTATTGGAGCTGATAGCCATGTCAGCAGTGTTCCGGCATGCAGTGTGGTTGTTCTTTGGGTGACCCAAGTTCGAATCCCGGTGTGTGGACATTTCCAATCCCGTCACCTCTCTTTCTCCCACTTTGCTTCCTGTCAACTCTCCAACTTATAAATTAATAATTCTCACAAGGTGTAGATGTGTAAACAAACATTATATTACAGCTGCACATTTCCACATATAGCAGCATTTAACTTATACAGAGAATTGTTCAGAAAAGCTTACATTTGCTCACATTTCCTTTGCCTCAGCTGCTTCATTGCCATCAGATGTCTTTGAAGATGACAACTCCTCTTCTGCCTCTGCATCTCCCGAGCAACTCGGTATGCACCAATCTCCTGGCTTATCATCATCACCTGGGCAAGGAGGTGACCAATCGCTGAGTGATACATCATCTGTTGCTACGCCCATCAGCCCAAACAGTGTACAGGTATAAGAGTCATAAAACACCTACACAATATTAGACCAAATTAACTGACAATGTACTTTTTGCCTTGAATCCTTTTCCTCAGTTTAAAAAGTGAGCAGTTTTGTGAGCAATGTGGTATTATCTAAATATTTATCTGTTTATATAAGCATTGCTATCAGCCAAACATAGCAGCACTGGGTCGACCAATGATATGAGAATGGGAACCAGCTGTTTGCAGTGTTTGGAATATTTTTTTTCATCCTACTAGTGGTGCAGAAATGACATATTACACCTTTATATTCAGGTTAAAAAGCTGGAAGATGGTTGTTTAAAATTTTCACCACTATCAACTTTTCAAAACAGTGCAGATTGGCGTTGCTCCCGGCAACCGAGTGCATCAGCCAACCAATGACCATGACAGTAATGGGGTCAAACTCCATATCAACAACTGGGAGACCCAAAGGGATGTACATGCCCTCCCAGACACCACCACTGCTGCCAAAGGTATTCACTCACACAGAGATTTGAATGAATGATTTGTTTAACTCCTCGCCCCATTTCATTCTTCATTATTTCTCTCATCCACTTGCTCATGTAATTTTTCCACATTATATTGCTCACATTCTCTCTTTGTATGCCTCAAGACAGCACAGCCATCAGCTGCACCTTCTCATTCCATTCTGGGTGGGCCCTTAACTTCATCCCGCCCTCCACGGCCACGAAAGCCTCGCGATTCAAAACCTAAAATGAGGAAGTTGAAATACCATCAGTACATTCCCCCAGATCAAAGGACTGGGACTGGAAGCGGAGCCGGAAGTGCTACACAAAAGCATAATAACAGTCAGGCTCAGCTCACTGATTCCTCTTACTCCCACCTCTTGCAACAACAGCAGGTGTTCTTACAACTACAAATTCTTAACCAGCAACAACAGCTCCCTGTGACAAACAGGTAAGCCTTCAAATAAAGCACTGATGAAATAATCATGATTTATACAACTAAAGCCGGGTCCATGTGTACAATTTTTACGGTTTTCAGATTGTAGAATATTATCATAGTGACATCTTAAGTAAAAGCCATGGCACACTGTGCAACATCATTCTTTTATGTCACTCAAAAATATATCGGTTGATCCCTTGGTGCCCCCAGGTAGACGAGATAGTGCCCCATTGATAGTTTGTGCCCTACGTGGGCTGTGTACTCCTTGCATAGGGAGCACATGGTACTGTGAATAAATAACATTGCAGCCAAGAGAACTGTTGACAGTTCAACAACAGTCACAATAGAGGAGGCAAATATTTATCACAAAGGTTTACACGGCTGTCAGTGAACATCACACAAATAGCATGATTACACTACACTTTTATGATCAGAACAGATTTTAAAATATTATGCATCACTTGCCAACTTTGTAAATGATTACAGCAAAAAAATCTAGGCTAAAGTCTGAAGATTACATAAGTTGTTTCAACCACAACAGCCTCACACTAAAACACATGCCTTCCCAGTGCTAGTAGATGCACATCAGGTGTGAACAAACAAGGATGTACAGGAGCTGGCTAGTTGATGGTGCAACTCTGTGCTCTGGGTTATGAAAAATACAAGCCAAGCTCATTTGGATGTGGTCCTGGGTGGGTAGAGGTGGTCAGTATGGCCTCAATAGACTGCAACAGGAGTTGAAAGTGAGTACTGCTAAAAGTCTTTCTCGGGAGCATCAAACCCTCCAACATGTTTAATGTCCACTGACTAGATGGCATCATAGTCTGACTGTAAAAAATATCAGGGTCTGTAACAGCATACACAACATGAAATCAAATTTGAGCTCCCAAAATTTCCAGGCTGGCTCTGATTCGAGGCATCTAGCACAGACTTGCCTCAACTACAAATCGCGGCAAAAGTCAGGGTTACAATTGTGTAGTGTAATCCAGTCCTATATGATGAAAGACTGATGGTTTTATGCTAAGATGATAAATCTTTTGCGATCCTTGAAATTGATCCCAGACAGCAAAATCATAGCTAAACTTTTACTGTGCAAACCTGGGTTAAAGGGATAGTTCACCCAAAAAAAGAAAAATTCTGTCATTAATTACTCACCCTCATGTCGTTTCAAACCCATAAGACCTTCGATCATCTTCGGAACACAAATGAAGATATTTTTGATGGAATCTGAGAGCTGTCTGACCCTCCCATAGACAGCAATACAACTGAAATGTTCCCAAGTCCAGAGACGTAGCAAGGAGATCGGTAAAATAATCCATGTGACATCAGGGGTTCAACCGTAATTTTACGAAGCTACGAAAATACTTTTTTTGCACAAAAGAAAGAAAAATAACGAGTTTATTCAACAATTTGTCTCCTCCGCATCACCCTGTAGCACCATTTTGGAGAATATCAGCTGGACGTAAACAACGTATGCTGTTCTGTGTCAGCTGCGTCACGCCGTATCTGTTTCCTACGTTGTTGTGATTTGATCTGAATGAAAACAGCATATCTGTGTGTGACGCAGCTGACACAGAACAGCATACGCTGTTTACATCCAGCTGATACTCTCCAAAAGGGCGCTACAGGGTGACGCGGAGGAGACGAATTGTTGAATAAAGTCTTTTTTTTTCTTTTGCGCACAAAAAGTATGCTCGTAGCTTCGTAAAATTTCAGTTGAACCCCTGATGTCACATGGATTATTTTACAGATCTCCTTGCTACATTTCTGGACTTGGGAACATTTCAGTTGTATTGCTGTCTATGGGAGGGTCAGACAGCTCTCAGATTCCATCAAAAATATCTTAATTTGTGTTCCGAAGATGAACGAAGGTCTTATGGGTTTGAAACAACATGAGGGTGAGTAATTAATGACTGAATTCAAATTTTTTTGGTAAACTAACCCTTTAAGAGATGCTACTCTTTGATCTGAATGGTAAAAATCTACTTCAAGATAGTGCCATCCCGAAAGCCTTATTTATATACCTATATTATACATCCAAACAATAGTGAGAACCATATGAAGATTTCTGGAACTACACCTCAAAGTTCCCCTCAGTCTGGAACACCATCAACAAACCCCTCTACTCCTGATACAAGTCCCACCCACCAGGCAGAGTTACTTCCCTTAAACCTTGATGACTTAACGGTAAGAATCTATTTGGTTAAGATAACTCACTCTAGATCAGTGGTGTCCAATCCTGCTCTTGGAGGGTTACTTTCCTGCTGACTTCAATTGCAACCCTGCTCCAACACACCTGCCTGTTACTTTTAAGGAGGCTACACCCGAAAGCTTAGGCAACTGACTTGTTGCCTCGCTGCCCTATCAGGCAATGACTTCACAGGCAGTGTTTGCACATTAAAATACCTGTTAAAACTGAAGGCATTGCAGTAGATAGGATGTGTAACAATAAATTGTTTTCGGATGTCTTTTTGCCTTCCTACCTCCTTAATTTTCAGATTTCAGACACAACCGTAATCCTGAACACTTTGATTACCTAGTTCAAGTGTGTTTGATTAGGGTTGGAACTAAACTCTGCAGGACAGTGGCATTCCAGGAGTGGGTTTGAACACCCCTGATTTAGATTATCTGGTCTTCATAAACTGTTTGTAGGAACAAGCTTTGTATAGAACATTGAAGTTATTTCTTCTCCTTTTCAGGTCTCAGTTCTTCGCCAGCAACTGCGGAAACGTGGACTCCCAGTTTCTGGCACGAAGCCTGCACTATTAGAGAGACTCCGTCCTTTCCAGATGCCTCGTCCCCCATTAACACCTGTGCCGCTTTGCCAGCTAGGGGCCACACAGGAACCCTCCCACCCTGCCAGCCTCAACCGAATCTCTACCAGCATAGACACCTCCGCCAACCCTGCTCCAGTGTACATCAACCCTTCGGGTTTAGTAGAGCAAAGCTTAGGTAGTGATAGTTACCTCACTTCTTCTTCTGCTGGCTCCAGCCCCACCTTACATAGCTCCTCCCCTCCAATGCCCTCTGGTACTACGTGGAGGCCAGGTCAGGCAGTAGATGAACTTAGTGTGGAGCTGGAAATGAGAGAGAGGATGAGGAGCAGACCCAGAGAAGGAGCAAAGGACACTCAGGTGTGTTTGAATACTTGACTAGGAGGTGAATCATTTGGAAATTTGTAGCATTTCCTATTATTCTCTTTATTTAAGGTGAATCTATTTAGTTACAAGTACTTTAAGTATTTAATGTACTATTTAATTCCTTCTGTTTTTTCCAGCTGTGTGAAAGTTCCCTTCATCCGTTCCTGCAACAGGAGCCAGGATGCACCAGAGGGAAACCAGACACTGGTGGACAGGAACTGCTCTTCACGTACTGCACTGGTGATGGAAAAGTATGTACTTTCAGTATTTAGTAAGACAGAATGGGGACATACTACTGCATTATTAAATTGCATCAAGCTATCTTGTTGTTCAGGAAACTATGGGTAATATTAGGCCAAATACAATAACTAATTTCACATCATACAAGAAAGTATTTCTTTGTATTTATTCCTAATCTTAGGTGAACTGCTGCCAGCTCTGTGATGTGATTGGTCAAGACTTTGATTTGCCCATGCAAATCACTGCCAGTCCAGCACAAGCATCACCTACTGTCCGGAGTCTGGAAGAGGAACTACAGGAGGCCATTCAAAGAGTGCAGGTTAGTGTTTTTGAGTTTGTGTGCTGTCTGCTGTCTGACCATTACTATGTTATGCAGCTATTGATGTATTGATTGCTGTTCATCAACAATGAGCACTGAGCGATTGACATTCTCCCCACTCTTTCTTTCATCATGTAAGATGGACACCAGTCAATCCATAGATGACATTTTGGACGAGACTATTAGTTGTTCAGGTGAGTGAAATTTGACTAGTGGCGACTGAAGCTTTTCAGGAAAAAAGGAAGCAAATATATTGCTTACCAATGGCAAAAAATTTACTTAGATGACATTTTAGGTTGGCCGGACATATTGACATGCTTATGCTGGTCACAGTTCGCTAATAGGTTATACACGACAAACATTTCAAACACCATGAATCATGTCTTTATCTTTCAGATAACTCTTTACTGATCACAGATGTCCAGTCAGCCACTAACGTCCTTTCAGTCTCTTCCCCTGGCCCACAGCCTGACCAATCACAGTCCACCAAGCGCCAAAAAGACGACAACTTCCTGTCCTCTCCTCTGTGCTCTTCGCTTCTTTTAGAGCTTCCTCCCTCACCTAACAATGCTCCACCCCTCAGTTCAACCCCAGCTCCCCTTCCTCCTCCCCCCATCTGCACCACTCCACCATCTAGGTCACTGTCCAGGAAAAGAAGGTCAGAGGTTCCTGCTTTTGACCCTGCTGATTGGCTGGAGTCCTTGACCTCTGGCCTGCACCCGCTGACGCCACCCACCGCCCCGTTTCTAGAGAGCAGTTCTGGCCTTGACTCAGACCTGAACATCAACAGAGTCCTCGACCTGATGGTGGAGCAATGGTGAGGAAGGGGCCGTAATGTGTGTCTATATGTGCGTATGGCTAATTGGATGCATGATTGGAAATTAACCAACTTTCAAATCGTGTACCTTCGAGAGAAGACCCCTCATCCTTTCATTCGTTCCTCTGTTTTTGCATCCATTAATCTCTGTCAACTGATGTGACCAAACAGATCTGACTGGTGTTGACTGCTAACCTCTACTCCACGCAATGTCGAGAGAAAGAGGGAAATGGAAAAGGAGATATGCTTTGGTAACTCATACAGAAAGATCCACAAAGAGCATGTGCACATATGCCACACTTTCGCAATGACTTGTATTTTTATAAAAGCTTTAAAAATGGAAAAAGAATATATTATACAAAAAAAGTGGGTTTCTCCGTTGATTTGCCTCTTGCTTCAGTGCCAGACAAACTATCGGCATGTGGCAAGTGTGTGGAGCAGCGGGAGCTTCAAACAATCTGTGTGTATTTGCAGGGAAGTGTATGCGCTCCCTGTATGTGTGAGCACGCTTCTCTTGGCTGCTTTATCTGTGTGTGTGTTGGTGTTGGTGCATACACACTTGCCAGCATGTTCTGTATCTACAATTTCAATGCACCATAAATGAGGTGCCTAAAGCATCCACTTGTTTCTGTTTATACTGGTGTACATTTTTCCATTTAGTTTCATGTTATGTTATGCTTTGTCTGGACTAGTGCATCATGGGACTGATGTTAACCCAAAAGCATTGGCCCAACAACAGAAAATAATTCTGGTCTGAGGCCAGTATGCACCTTCAGCGGGATTGAAACCACAAATTAGGTTGGGACCTTAGGAGAATGTGTTTTAAAAAAGCCTAATGTAATTAAATCAGAAAATATAAAGGTATTTGAGCTGATTGATCAGCCTGGCCAGAAAACACTGTGCAAAGTTAAAGAAGTTATCTTTCAACCGCTACTCATTAAATTTTCTTAATGGGACCCATATAACATCATCTACCATTGTTGTTTACAGACATTTGACCTTTTGACTGGCCAATGCTTTTATGCATTTCTCTGGACAATGCAGTACATTACTGCTTCCAAGAAAGGGCACATGAAAACAACACATTTAAATGTCCAAAGAAAGTGAAACATGAAATCTTTATTCTGTTCCAGTCTTATACAGGTGCATCTCAATAAATTAGAATGTCGTGGAAAAGTTAATTTATTTCAGTAATTCAACTCAAATTGTGAAACTCGTGTATTAAATAAATGAACTTTTCCACGACATTCTAATTTATTGAAATGCACCTGTATGTGAAAGTGTATGTGTAAATAGGACAATGTGTTTGATAATCAAATATATTGCCCTGAGTTCAGTATGCAGACAGGTGCTGGAGAATCACAGCATGTGTACAGCTGGACTTTGTTCTCAAATGAGTTTTTTTATGTAACCCTACAAAACACAACTATTGTTTCTTTTAATCCACGTCTAAGTAAATCAATGACCAACCAAAAAGCAAACATATTAAGTGTTTGATCTGACATATTCACTTATATATTTATTGAGTAATTTATTAAAACTCTGCCAACTATTCATGTACAAGTCATATAGTACATATAGTAACTTAAAATAGTAAAATTAAAGTCTTAATTGATTTTCCCACCTTTGTCTGTTTCATTTTTTATTCCCAGTAGAAGCATTTAAGCTATCTGATGAACCCAGTATCCACAGAAATTGTTCAAGTTTTATTATTAAACATCTTTGGTAAATTTAGTACATCTTATGTGAAATTACTCTAAGCAGTCATGGTGATCACTAAGCTTTCTTTTTTATTTTAAATGTCCCTTAGGCTGCCTCAGTGAATCATTTCACCGCTCATAATGTTTCTCTAGTGTGGTGTCAGCAATAAAGTCCTGTTACCCAGTTTCAGTCTAGCCACCTTTGCTCATGCTGGAAATGGGCTGAGCCTCTGTGAAATTCATTTAATTTCCAACATTTCAAGTCTACATTTGTAGATAGTTAAAACTTAGCAGGAGCTTGATTGCTTTTCTGTGTACATCATTGTTAGTGTTAAACTGCACTGTAAATCATCTGAGCAGGGACGGCTTTTGCTGTATAGTAAAAAAGAAACATACATCAGGCAACCCTTTTGAAAATACCTTCTCATAGATTTGAAACACTTCACACCAATCATATTAATTCACACCAACTGATTAACTATTCAGTGATCCTAATAAATACGGTCTTCACTTGCATTATTCATGTTTGTTACCTTTTGCGAAGCAGAATTTCAGCTTCTCTGTGCTTTAATTAGTTGAATGTGTTAATTAGATCGCTCAGAATGTTTGACACGGGGTGTGAGCTCACTAGCACAACGTGACAAATTCAATAGACATCTTGATCAAAGAAAATATGTCAAATTGGTGGCAGCTTACAAGGAGCATTGACTGATAATATTATGATTTATAGGTAAGAATATGTGTCCTCTTTTGGTAGGACTCTACCAATTCCAATTTTAATTCATGGTTTTAATACGTATTACTTTGCAGAATATAATTATTTTCTTACACAGCTTTCTGGAATACTTGAATTTATTTGGTCAATCGTGGCATTGAGTTGTTATATTTTACTTTAATTACTGCTAACTAGATTTAACTCCACAGTCTCTCTCTTTCGTAATTATGGTCAGTGCAGATTAATATGTATAAACAATGTTTCGCAAATGATAAACATAAGTGTTGAATTGTCCAATGGCGAAAACAGAGTAAAAAGCTGCAGTGTTTGACCTCTTGGTAGATATTTTTTTCTCTGTTGCAACTGACTATTTTCCTACACCTCAACAAATTCAGTCTGACATACTCAGGCAAATTAAGATGAATTAGGTAGTAGCCTACATGGATATTTTCGTTTGAGCTGCATTTGAAAAGTAGTATCTTCAGAGCCAGAGGGATGAAAGGTTCGTAAACACGTGAACTGTGTTAAAGGGGTCGTGATGACGCTGGTATGTGTTTGCAGTACACAAGCCACGGTTAAGACAGCTGACTCCACTGTGATGTGACGCTCTCTCTCTCTCTCTCTCTCTCGCTCTCTCTCTCTTTCTCTCTCCCTCGCGCACACACGATGCGCAAAACTCCGCACTTGAAGTCAATAGCAAATACTTAAACTAATAACAAAACAGTAGCTGATTCAGAAGCGCCAGATTGTCATAGCAAAGTCAGAATTACCTCCTCTCCTAGGTTCACAAAACGGTCGTCCATAAAATGCATTACTATTCTGTCGTAAGCAATCTTAAAGATTCCTAAATGCATCTACTTTCGGAAGGCCAAATAAAGTGCTTTTTCTTTCGCCTAGAAACACACAGTGTCTCCCTGACATGGCTGCTTCAACACTAACTGCGGTTACTGAAACCACGTCTTCTTTCTTTGCGTGCACATTTGGGCGGCATTATGCAAATATTTCCACATAGTGAGGTAGATATGTGGGGGCGTGTTAGAACGAGCCATTTTAGGGGGGCGTGGCAGAGTCTTAACTTTGATAAAGAATATCTCTTTGGTTTTGAGACTTTAGTCTTTGCAACTTCAGGGATCTTATCTATGCACAATCAGCTTGTAACACTCCAAAGAGAAAGGAAAACTTGAAATCGCATCATATGACCCCTTTAAACGAAGATAACCATCAAATAAGCAGCCTAATCCAACATAAATCAAGCATGCATTCATTCGTCTCCATACTGAAGACCTCTCTTGAGCCAATCCAGCGATTTAACACTCTGCTCACGTGAACGGTATGTAATGAGTTTCCGAATAATGACTTCTGTTGTCACGGATAACCAGCTTTCTTCCTTGGTGCTGCGTTTTACTCCCGCTTCATGGAAATTAACCGCTAAAAGGGACATTTCATGTGTAAAGCAGCCAAGTAGAGTCGAGGTGGGGTCTGTGCGTATGTTTTGTATCGTCGTTCTTCCTCAGTGTGGACCCGCCGGGACGCGCCGTGGGTGATTAGATAACTGGAAGAAGGTCAGGTTGGTTCATTCACACACAACCGACCCTGATCAAACCCCCATCGGGCGCACGAGTGGAAGGAGCGTTTAATTGCTTGGATTTGGAGCAACGGAGCGTGGTCAGACACTTGTAGCCTGGTTTTCAAAGGTCCCGTAAAGTGCAGCAGGGGTCCATGGAATGTTATGTAAAACAAATAGAAATGTAATAAAATATATACATTAGCTGGCAGTCAAATGCTCTCCAAGGCTGCATTAATTTGATGAGTTAAAACAGTAATTTTGTGAAATATTATTATTAAAGATTATTATATTTTCTACTTGAATATTTTAAAATGTATAAATAATTTAATAATTTAAAACGGAATTTTCAGTATAGCCATTACTTCTTTACTCTTTAGTGTCACATAGTGTCACATTTCTGTTTCAAATAAACACTGTTCATTTGAACTTTATTGAAACAAAGATTCCTGAAAAAAAGGTATGACCATTGCCAGAAAAATATTAATCACCACAGCTGTTTTCAGCATTGATAATTAGAAGAAATGTTTCTTGTGCAGCAAATCAGCATATTAGAATGATTTCTGAGGAAATTATATTAAGTATTTATATCTAATCAGCCAATCACATGGAATTTAGGCATGTAGACATGGTCAAGACGATCTGCTGAAGTTCAAACTGAGCATCAGAATGGGGAAGAATGGTGATTTAAATGTGGCATGGTTTTTGGTGCCAGACGGGCTGGTCTGAGTATTTCAGACACTGCTGATCTTCTGGGATTTTCACACGCAACCATCTATTTGAATGGCCCAAAAATATCCAGTGAGCAGCAGTTCTGTGGGCGAAAATGCCTTGTGGTCAGAGGAGAATGGCCAGGCTGGTTGGAACTGAGAGAAAGGCAACAGTAACTCAAATAGCCACTCCTACAAATGAAGTACGCAGAAGAGCATCTATGAACACACAACATGTCGAACCTTGAAGCAGATAGGCTACTGCAGCAGAAGACCACACCGGGTGATACTCCGGTCAGTTAAGAACAGGAAACTGAGGCTACCGTTTGCATGGGCTCACCAACATTGGACAATAGAAGATTGGAAAAAGGTTGCCTGGTCTGATGATTCTTGATTTCTACTGAGACATTCGGATGGTAGGGCAGAATTTGGCATAAACAACATGAAAGCATGGATCCATCCTGTCTTTTATCAATGGTTCAGGCTGCAGCTGGTGGTGTAATGGTGTGGGGGACATTTTCTTGCCACACTTTGGGCTCCTTAGTACCAGTTGAGCATCATTTAAATACCACAGCCTACCTGAGTATTGTTGCTGACCATCTCCATCCCTTTATGACCACAATGTACCATCTTGTGATGGCTACTTCCAGCTGGATAACATGCCATGTCACAAAGCTCAAATCATCTCAAACTGGTTTCTTGAACATGACAGTTGTGTTCACTTTACTCAATGGCCTCCACAGTCACTGGATCTCAATCCAATAGAGCACCTTTGGGATGTGGTGAAACGGGAGAGTCGCATCATGGATGTGCAGTCGACAAATCTGCAGCAACTGCGTGATGCTATGATGCCAACTTGGACCAAATTCTCTGAGGAGAGGAATGTTTCTAGCACCTTGCTGAATCTATACCATGATTAAAGTAGAATTAAAGCAGTTCTGAACTGAGTCCAACCCAGTAATAGCAAGGTCTACCTAATAAAGTGTCTAGTAAGTACTGTATGTGTGTGTGTGTGTGTGTGTATATATATATATATATATATATATATGTATACACACACACACACAGAATGTTTTCAATAAAAAAATGGAAAACTTTTTGTGTGTTTTGACCATTCATTTTCACAACAAAATTTGTTGTAGCGGCCGGAAAATGCAAACTTTTTAAATTGGGTTTCAAAGTGCAAGTTTTTGAATGGATATTGTTATCGAGGAGATTATGAGGATATTCCCCCTGACAATGTAAAGCACTTTGAGTGCCTAGAAAAGCGCTATATAAATGTAATGAATTATTATCGACAAAATATGAAAACACTAATTTTTGAAAACGGTGACATCACATGTATGCGTATTAGATGTTCATTATATAGGTACAGTATGTGAGTAAAGCGCATATTGTTAGTAATTGTGTTGACACCTGCTGGCCTGGCATGCATTATATGTTCTTAGCTGTTTTCACAGATCTGTGTGAACAGGGATTATT